CGCTAATAGTGATTAATAGCATCATTAACAATATGAAACAAACCAACCAGTACGCATTTAATTGGTTAAGAAGACGAGCTTTTCTACTCCTTTTGAAGGAGCCCACCGATGGTGTCAACTTGTCGACACTCAACACTTCCATCTCCATCTGAGAGAGAGAGAGAGAGAGAGAGAGAGAGAGAGAGAGAGATGCGTGCGTCGTCATGGCTTTTCTAATACCACACCACCAAGGTAATGAAGGTGGCGATCACATTTTGTTGTCCACTATTAGTATATTCTACACGATTTCTAGGTCCCCAACAATGCTTTACTTTGTTTGTCCATCTTTTCCTACTAACTACTTTGGACTCTTAAATAATACGATAAGTAGATATAACAACCCATCAATTGTTAATGCGAGTGAATTTCATAACATATTATTAACAGTTGACAACTCCATGCTTGTGTGTGCAAGTGAATCTCACAACATATCAATAGTTGATAACCACATGAATCATATGCATGGATGTCCAAAACTATGACTATAGAACAGTCTGTAGGGAAAAAGAAAAATGCTTTCAGTTGTTTAAACAGGTGTTTAGCGATACGTTAATTCGAAACCATTTGCCTATTTAATTATTTTAATGAAATTTCAATGTTTTTCAGATAACAAAGTATTTGTCAATTTTTTTTAACTCAATTAGATACTTTAAATATTTCCAGTTTGATTAATATTTTGCATGAATGATCTACGAAGTGCAACTCGATGTTATATATATACACAACTAGTTTTTTTTATTTTTTTTTATTTTTTATTTTTTTGCTCTGTAAAAATAAGAATTATGCATGCCATGAATTGACTAATTGTTAAAGAGAAAAACTGATACGCAAGGAAGCTTTGCCCTTTGCTCTTTGCTTTTTGCCTTAGGTCATCAGCCTCTGCTATACGTATCAGTTTTTGCTGGTTCTGTTACCATCAATTTGTACCGAAAACTTTACTTTTTCTTGGACATTTTGGAGACCAATCGAACCATCTGTCTCTCTGGAAAATGGATTTAAGATTTGGTTCATTATTGACATTTAATTTTTCAGATCGATCCCTCTGATCTGATGAACATGTCTGAATTGCTGATGGTGAGGATGACGACTTCAACTTATGTATTGGAGATGGGAGGGATCGAGTTCAAAGCTGATGTGCTCGTATTTCATCTGCTAACCCTGTGACAAGTCTAGTTGTTTGACATCTCTATTCGATTATCCTGAAAGAATAGTGTCATGCACACATTAATTTTTACTTCTCACACACTTTTCTCGATTTTTTAGTCATCAGATTGAATGAATTTATGAAGATCCATGACATGAAATTAACAAAGATGTGTAAAAAATAAAAATATGTATGTGAATAACACTATCTATTCTAAAAAGCAATAAACGACCTGTCCACTAGCTACATTACGTAGCTTCAATTCCCATTGCACTGCAAAATATTATTGCTTCTTTGTGATTTGTGAAATCCTCAGTAGTTTCAATTCAAACGAGCAAGCAATGAACCGTGAAATTTTAGTAAACAAGACGAGTAAAATATTAGTAGAAGATGAGAGATTCTACCATGAAACTGTTGTTATTTTCTCCATCTCGCTTATCACATTTCTAGCTACATAGTAGACCTAACGTTGTTAATTGTAAAACAATTTCATCATCTCACTCATGCCGTGACTGAAAAGATATATCCCTGACTACACAGTGCACTGAAATTTTAACCTAGAGGAGACATATATTGAGGCCAATGGGAGCATGCGTGCCTTATTAATTTGATACCCAATATATATATATATATGTGTGTGTGTGTGTGTGTATGCGCTTCATTTTCATACTAAATAAAGTTAGGTTTACACACTTTCCCTACAAAGTAATACATAAGATCTTCTATGTCACGATCAAAAGAAATATTTTCATATATACGGGACTCATGGATTGCTGACACAGGAGCATCTCATTGTATGAGTCCCACTGTCAATGCTTACTAAGGCAGGTCCTTATGAAGGAGATGAAATGGTAAAAATTTACAAGTCAAACACATTGGTTTTGCTTCTGCTGCATTGAGAAGCAATTCTGACGCTTTGTTTCTGAAAATCAATTTGCACATTCTTTCTTAATTAATTAGATTTTGAATGATAATATATAAACCACCAAACCTATCAAACCGTTAGATGATGGTTGTACTGGAAACATATAAGTATTGTAGTTATTTATGTAATTTTGATGTTAATATAGCATCATTTATATAATTAATTACAAGAAATCCGTTGTTTTCTGTAAAGAAAACCTTACGACGGATGAAAACAGAAATAGAATTTCATGTTGTACCTTGTCTCTTAAAGTGATTTGATGTTCACCAAATTGAGATGAAGTCCGTTTCACAAACCTGCAAGTTTACAATGCGTTTAATTATATTTAATCTATAGCTAATCACTTTAATATTCTATTTTTGTCACAAATCATGCCATAAAAGTCGAATCTTCTTGCTGTAACTTGCGTTTAGGGTTTAAGAAAAGAGAGAGACAAAGAGAGTGGGGCCCATTCCAACTTGTGATGCAATCCCTCAGCTCATCTCGAAACCATATGGCAGACACCATTGTTACCACCACCATCAACGGTGTACCTTTCACAACTCCAAGATCTCACAATTCATTGATGGGTGGGTCCCCCATTCCACAACATACGTTACGTCAGCGCTAGCGTCGGACAAACACGTGGATCCCCACTATTCGCCAGGGTCTTGCAGGACCATAATAGCGTGGGCCCTGGCCATCAATCTCAACAAAGCCCACAATCTCCGTGCCTGAAGGAAAGTAAAAGACGACGCCACGTGTCTGCACGGGAATGTCATGATGATGAGAGATTTTCCAGTATGACTGGAACACAGGAAGGTACACCACATGTCACTTGATAGGATATGTGTGCTAAAAAGTTAGTAACTTAAAAAATAAAATTTTCCACCACACCAATTAAAACAAGTGATGTATCACTTGTGTTCCTGTTACAACTAAAAATTTCTCCAAGATGATGAGAAATTTTTCATTGTGATCGGAACATGGGTGATACACCATTTATTTTTATATAAGTGGTGAGAAATTTTATTTTTTAAGCTATTAATTTTTTAACACACATATCCCACCATTCGTATAGTGACACGTGGTGTACCACTACCACTTTCAATCACATTGAAAAATCTCTTCATGATGACGAGAAATTTTTCACCGTGACTGAAATACGGAGGGTACATCACGTGTTTTTATATAAATGGTGAAAATTTTTATTTTTTAAATTATTAACTTTTTAACATATATCTCATTATTTTTATAGTGATACATAATGTACCATTCTATGTACCAGTCATACTGAAACTTTTCTCTATCACGAGGAAAGTATGGTCTGGCTCCGATGATTCTGTCATTGGGTATTGGGTCCCGCTCCATCACCCTCTCGTGCAAATTAGTCCACGTCAGATGATCCGGCCTTTATGGTAAATTAATAAAAATAATTTGAAAATTTTACGTTTTAATAAAAATAACATAATAAAGAGTAAAGTAAATGATGTTATAATTGATTTTTTAATATAAAAATATGAATTTTTGTTAAAATAAATAATACTAAAAAATTTTCATTAAAATTCACTTATTTTTCCTAGGATGGGGGCCTGGCAGGAAGGGGAGGGGCTTTGGCTTTATGTTACGTCAAGGTTCAATCTTTACCGTTCCACGTCGAAGTCCATGTGACGTCACCATCATTTACTACGACGACCATCTGATCACTCCCCCCATGTGACCGGCAAATATCCAGTATTTCCGACCCACCGTATTTCGTATTAAACGATTCCCACGCGCTTGCTTACCTCGTGCACGAAAGCCTCCCAATTATTCATAAATTTTCACTCGAGCATTATTGGTTTATGTTCAAGCTATGTCTCAATTGTATCTCTTTCAAGCCGAACTCAAGAAGAGATTTTTCATCGTGATTGGAATACGAATTGTAAATCATGTATTTTTATATAAATGATGAAAAATTTTAATATTTGAGTTATCAACTTTTTAACATATATATCTCATCACCTGTATAGTGATATGTAATGTACCATTTTGTATTATGGTCACACTAAAAAATCTCTCAAACTCAACGATAATTCTTCAACATAGGTCGGTACGGATTTCCATTTGTATTCTTCAAATTAGAGGTCATAAATAGCAACAATTCCTCCTATTAAAGCTCTGGGCCTCTCCCACAATTGGAGATTACAGTTTGCTATCCATCCAATAAGGTTGTTTCGTATCTCTTGGCAATCAATAAAAGAAAACAAATATATGAATATCATGATCAATCGTGGCAAGTATAACAAAACAATGTCAAAATGCTTCGTCACTTAGGTACTATACTTAGAAGTAGTCTTGAAGAATGAACCTGACAAACATTCTTCAATGACTTAATTCATTAGATGACGGAGTTTATAAGCTACGATTTCAGTTGATACTTAATACTTTCAACAATAAAACGTTACATTTATTCTTTGGATTATGAGCATGCACATACTATGAGCAAATGCCAAGTAATAAATTAGGTTATGATGATAAGATTTTTGTTCGATTGTGACATTATAACCTAAAGTTTCTTCTTTAGAAAACCAATTCTTAAACTATGAAGGGAAAAATTAAGACTTAACAAATGACAGATTATATTCATACACCTCAAATTACTTCTTTCATACCATTTTAATTTTTTTTTAATATTTTTTATACACCACTAACATTTTATAGGAAAAATATTAAAAAATTAAAAAAATATAAGAGAAATAATTTAAGATGTGTGAATATAATATTCCTTAACAAATTAGTAGCATATATGAGCGCGTGGGAGTGAAAATGTTCACAACCTCCGACCCCAAAAAAACTAATGTAAACACAGTACATTGTGACATAAGCAAGCACACCTCCTCCCCCTTCTCTCCTTTTTATATTTATACGCACCTCCCCCAACCCCATTCTCTCTCACACCCACCACTTATTTTCTCTTTGCCCCCGTCGACGTCATTTCCCCACCACCTCTCTCCGTTTCTCCCTCAATTCACCACCACGCAACTCCTCTGGCTTTCCCGGCGATGCAAGGCCTACGGCGTTGCTCCAACGACGCCGTCCACCTCGGCCTCTTACCCGCCCCGACCTCGCCGTCCCCACCCGCTCCCACAAACAAGTCTTCCTCAACTCTCTCCATCGACGTCGCCGAGTCCGCCGAGACCCGCATCCGCCGCCTCATCTCCGAGCACCCCGTCATCATATTCAGCAAAAGCTCCTGCTACATGTGTCACGTCATGAAGAAGCTCCTCGCCACCGTTGGCGTCCACCCCACCGTCATCGAATTGGACAATCACGAGATCGCTGCTCTCCCCTACGACGACCAACAACAACAATCTTGTAATACTCCGCCCGCCGTTTTCATCGGCGGCACTTGTGTCGGCGGCCTCGAGTCCCTCGTCGCCCTCCACCTCAGCGGCCACCTCGTCCCTAAACTCGTCCAAGTCGGTGCCCTCTGCGTATGACTCTTCCCATTACATAAAAAAAAATTTAAAATCTCCATCTCTATCAATCTCTATATTATTATTATTATTATTATCATCAATATTTTTCCTCAACTAGGAACAATAGGGATATTGTTTCCAAGATTTGTAGTAAAATGGACAACGAGATGACGTTGTAGCGGTATTTAATTTTAAATACCGTGACATAACCATCCGTCGTCGGAAGGAAGTCCATGCAGTTGCGCTTTCAGTGTCGTACACGGGGAGGTGTTTGCTGAATCAAGTACATCGATCGCTTCTGATCCACGTCCAACGACTTCGATCTAGATTCTCAAAACAGCCTCTCTCTCTCTCTCTCTCTGTCACTCTCTCTCTCCCCTCAGTGTACGGGTCCCTCGGTGTGTGGTCTTTGATGATAAATTAGCAATTATTGGAGCATCGGGACCGTCCGATGTGTGGACTTCCTGCTAGGTATGTAGCTCTCTTTATCTCTCTAGCTCTCTGAAGTCTGGGTTTCTGGCAATGGAACGTGATTGTATATTTCTGTCGTTTTTATTATTAAAGATTGTAAATTTGTCGTTTTTTTACTTTAGATAAAAAAAAAAGTTTGATTAATTGTTGTTAATTTTTGGGTATAAATGGTTAAACGATGAGTGTATTATATTATTTGTGGGTCCTCACTTGCAATTATTGAGCAATCAAGGCCGTTAAATTTAGTATATTCTTTTGTTCCCAAGTGAAAAAGTTTGTTCTAGACGACTGGTCGTAGAAGTAGTAGTTGTTTTGGGGCATCAATGTCATGATCTTAGTTAGCCAAAAAAATTTATACTACTTGTTGAGTGTGACGATATATATGCTCTAATGACAGATTTTTCCTAATGGACACACGACATAATACATTAAGTGTAATAATATAATTAGTTAAAAATTAAAAAAAAAAAAAATTTAACTAATTGTATTATGACATTTACTGTACCGAATCATATTTTCAGCACACTGAAAAAAATTTTTGTCCCAACAATTAGTATTTTAAAATTATAATTTTACAAAAGCTTGTGTGCTTTTTTCCAAGTAATAGGATGGTTACGGAAAATTCACCTAAATTATGACAAAGAGATTCGAACTCAAGTAAAATGATGGTTACATAAGGTAGAACATTGTTCTAGCTAAAGACTAAACTCACATATACTTACGGAAGTTAATGTTAATTTTGACAGAATACGTAAAAGAAGTAGCTCTTTAACCGGAAAAAAAAAATTAACATCAAAATGCATGTCAATGAATTGGTTAAGAATATCTAACCTTTAATTGATATTATAGTTTAATTTTTTTTCTCTCAGTATATCGTTTGTATCAAAAAAAAAAAAAAAAAAAAAAACAAAAAAGACAGGTAGATTCACCTGAAATCGAAGGCAAGGACAAATGAGAATTTGTCACCATGCATGAGACAGGGTTCAATTTGGTGGTGTCTTATGGCGTGGCTGCTTCTTCAACCACTCGACAACCCATTTCATCATCATTGCACATCGTGACTAGTACCTATTTACTTCAATCACCATTTTTAACATTATGGTGCCAACCCAATTTCTTGGAAGCATTATAAGAGATTAAGATGAGCAAACTCGTCGATCTAGCAGCTACATCTGTAATTTGATACAATAAAAATACGCTATGTTAGCAAAATTGTTAGTTTGTGTTTTGCTGAATTAGCACACGATGAGATAAAATTATAATGCGTATTCTCAGAGTATTTTCTTTTCAATTAGAATTATCTAAAGCGAAACGAAAAGGATCATAAAAATGCATACGATTTGGACAAAATGAGATTTTATCTCTCCTTACGAGGTAAAGAGAAAGACTTTTACACTACAAAAATATTACTGTGATAATATTTCAAATCAACCATACACTTGTCATGTTAAAACGAAGACAGCACATGATCAATTTATGTACTACTCCATTAGCCATTATTAACATTTTGATGATGCACCAACACTTGCTTTTAATCATTAAAAAACACATCAACACGAGAAAATGTTATCAAAAAGTGCGTGTGATTAACAATGTTGGCTTCAAATCTTCTAATCTTCTACACCGAAAACTTTTGTGCCAAAAATGTATCAACTTCTAATGTTATGACATGTGGATACTTACGCAACAACCACTCAACACCAAAATACTTATGCAGCATAATTGAATCCAATTTAATGATGAGTTTATGGTTGCCAATTAAGGAAAGAATTATGATATGTTGAATGGTGATAATTAAGGGTTAAAAACACAACTCCAAGTCACATCAACCCATGTGGGACCCAAATTTTCCTTTGTCTTTGGAAAAAACAAGCTGGTTAGTGACTGTGATGAGAGCAAAACCATTAGCTACCATACAAACCACAATTGCCACAGTCCAAGAGTGCGTGTCCGCCTTTAATCCGTCTTTTAATCTTTTGATATTACGTGGCAGACATGCAGTGCGTTTGATTGACTCCATTGGCATGATGGACCCCCACCTAGAATCTTACGATAAATTTTTAATATGCTTGGAACACAAGTAATACATTACGTGTCATTATATAAAAAGAACGAAGTTTTATGTTTTAAGTTGTTGATTTTTAACACGGGAGCATTTTCATCATCATCGTAAACTTTTGTGTATATTTATCATAAACCTAATCATCTGACACATTTTTTCACTTAACCTTGTTTTTTTTTAAATTAAAAAATTAACATTTAATGTGAAAACTAATTACAGTTAAATTAATATTTAATAAGTATTAATAGAGTATTGGGCAACCCATACATGATGGTTCCTTAATGGTGGAAAGAGATCACTCTAGATCTCTTCCTCCAAATGCGACGAATCAAGTGATCTAGATTTTTGAAATTTGATTCAACAATAAAAAATTATTATAACTTTTAAAAGTTCTTACTAACTTCTCTGTTTTTAACCATTAGATCAAATTTTTAAGGATCTGGATCACTTGATCCGTGGACTTTGAAGAAAAAGATTTACGGAAGATCTCTTTCCGTTAATAGTAGGGTTTTAGGTTACACTTTGCCCAGTTTAAAGTGGCAAAAGTCATTTTAGTGCAACACCTTAGTTTTATAATTCATTTCTCTTTGATGTCATTCTTGCTTGGGCTCCATTTCTTCTGTTTCTTTATTATACTAAAAAAAATTTCATTACGTCTTTTATTAATATAATTGACGATAATTTGTTACAAACTTTAAGCATCTCCAGCCAAGAGTTATAAGCCAGATTTAGCCTTACAATTAACAAAATAAAAAGAAATTGGCCTAAAAAAATTAGGCTAAGTTTGCCATATATTACCATACAAATAGTGGGATATGTGTGTTAAAAAGTTAATAACTTTAAAAATACAATTTTCCAATACTTATATAAAAGTAAAGGTGCAATAAAATAGGGAACTGTTATTAGTACTCCAAAAATCTCATTCTACATTCCTCATAAGTGTAATTTTCTTTATAATTATAGAAAGTTTGAAGTGCAAAATGTGATTTTTGAAGTGCGAATAACAATTTTATAAAATAATATCAAAAGAAACAGAAAATCTGTTTTGAGAGGCCCACTGCGGCTTCACACTGTAGTCACAGGTGAAGCCTCCCCTAGATTGTTTAGTGAGTGGTGACGCCAACATCAGGGCACTACAGCAAGTAGAGCATATGATGATTGTTTTTATGTACAAAAACAACCCAACCTTATCCCATTGAGTGAAGTTAACTGTATGAATCTTAAACCACCGATGCGATCAGTTTTACGCCAATCTTCTGTACTTAGCTCAATTGTCTTTATGTGATTAGCAATAAAAATGTAAGAAGGCAGCACATAGAAAAGTTGATACTATCAAGCCATTGAATTTAGTTTTTGCCAACATTCACTGCCTGTTACAAAAAAATCAGTGAATAAATTGCCGGAGCCTCAAAAAGCTTTAGGTGGCAAAGATGAATGTCATCGCTGCGTGTTACTAAATTACAATGTCGAACCCATCTGCACTTTACAAAATATTTCCTGCTGTAATTCCCATTTTTCTGTCGTTCTAGTCCTAAATCTCTAATCTTTTGTTAAGATAAAGCGACAGGGAATGATTTCGTGCTATAATCCACCCCAATTCATGAACTTCTTGACTTCGTCGTACAAAACCAAGATGGCAGCAGCGCCGGCACTCCTAAACACGTTTGAAACTGCACCGCGATAAAATGAAACCACTCCTTCTCTCCTATATATCTTCCTCCAGCAGTCGAATGTGTTATCGTACATCCGCTGTTCCAATCCAGACTGCATCATCATCCGCCTCCGAACTGTATCAAATGGATACGACAACAACCCAGCAGAGGTTGTGACTGCCTGAGCCACTACCCAACGCTGCCACAATGGCAAATCACGTTTAGAATCTTCTGATAAAATTTCCTTCATTGTATCAAAACCTCCAAAGTATAGTCCCCGGTGAATGACCATTCCCTGTAAAGAAGCTGGAAGCCCTCTGTAAACTCCTTTAATCCCGTCCTTTTGGCGAATGGTAGACAAGAAATGGTATATGCCTCGAAATTGACGGACTTCGGTTCTTCCAACGTCAGCAGCCAGGCGGGTATGTGCAATATCAAGTGGGTATATTATTATCAATGTTGTACAGCCAGCAGCAGCTCCAGCAATGAAATTGGCAGATGGACCAGCCAAAAAATGACCATCTTGAGAGTGTCCACTTCTTAACAGGTTCCTATAAAGATCCTGTTAAAGAAATTAATTTATAAGGATAATGCAATAAATGATATGATTATGAAATCTTCATCTACCATTAATAACTATTCCATCAATCTTCATCTACCATTAAGAACTATTCCATCAACCGCCATAGCAAAAAACAACTAAATCGGCAGACCTCAACTGCGCTGTGTTAAAATCAAAATGGGATTAGGAGCTTTATTCATCAATTTAGAATTAAACAAACTCATTTAAATGAAAATTTGAATTAGTTTGAACACGTAGGTACTGACTGACTAATCCAAAGATAACCACATCTTCTGTATCAACTGATGCTACTTACATACCATCTGATTAGGGCTAATGCTTATCTATGTAACTCTCCTAATCAGTTTATTTCTGCTCTATGCCACTGGGGACGCAAGAAATCCAGACAGATGGGTTTAGTGTTGTTGAACTTCTAAACTTCATGATCCCCTATGGTTACATTTCAAACATATTTTTTCTTTTCTAATTTCCCTTTTCAGGCTAAACAAGAAAAGGTACCCTCCCACCCAAGATCACAGCACTTACGGTGACGGAAGTTGAGATCACTCCCTTAGGAAAGTTTGCTTGAATTCTTTACTGCATGAAAGAGAATCCCACATTTTTAGGCTTTCTACTGTAAGTCTTGGTTATTGTTCACAACGCTTTCCAGACACTTACAAGAACTTACTGTTTAGTCAATGACATGATAAACTTTGAACATTTCTAGAAGGGAAACTTTCCTCTTGCAATACAACAAAACCATCTTCCCTTGGAGCATCCATGCTTAGTGAACCAAATCCCTCGTCGACACTATGCTTATTCTGTACCACATATCTCCACTTCTCCAGATATTATCACGTAAAAACAATTGAAAACCACGGGTGATCATTGGACCATACAAAACGTCCCTTAGTAATGGTGGAATGCAGATTGGCTACAAATTTGTAACAGTCAATGAATCCAGTTCTCCCCTTTTCTCTCTCCACTAAAAAGTTCTACCTAACAGCTAGCAACCGAGTACGCAAAGGACGTACAGCAAGAAGTTGAATTCTTTGAGAAAAAAACGTACATTTGAATCCTGCGCTTCCTAACAAGCTCAATCACTCAACTAATGAGCTTCCTAAATAAGATCTTGTTTCCTATAACTGCAAAGAAGGCCTCTTCAAGTTCATACCACATCAAAACAGGCTGCATTGCCGGCCATCATGACATATCAACGAATTTTCTGGAGTCCATCGTAACATACTATTGAATGGAGCAAGTCAAGCAAACATAATCTTGCATACAGAACTTTAAAAAGCTCAAATAAGAACACTATTTCATCTTTACTTTTCTTTTCGGTTTTTCGTATTACATCTGTGTTAGAATCTAATCAATCCAATGGTAAATCAATCCCATCTTTTGCACCAAACAATTCCCCACCAATTCAGAGAAAAATCCAACCTTTTAAGAGAACAATTGAACAGGACCAAAACCCAGAACACACAATCATCCAAATCTTGAAAACAAAGAAGCAGAAGAATCCAAGAACTCAAAGAACATTTACCTTGAGGGAAAAATTGAGAGCCACGGAAGGGTAGTAGCGAAGGACGCTGCTGCCATTGCCTCTCCAAAGAGACAGGATGCCTTCTTCCCTGACCGTCCCGGCGATGCAATCGACCATGCCCTTGAACTTCGTCCGTCCACTGCCGAGAATGGCCAGGTTGCTCTCCTGGGTCTGCAACAAAAGCTTGGCCCTCTCAATTGGGGCCACAATCGTGTGCACCACGCCGCCCATCACCGCCCCAGCCATCAGATCGCGGTGGAAGTTTGTCAGCCAATCCGGCGGCTGTGATTTCGACGCTTTCGCCTCTGGGTCGTCGTCATCTTTGCTCATTCTCTACGGGGAAACCCCTCTTCTCTCTCTCTATCTCTGCGGAAAATGGAAGAAGCTGAAAATGGTGGGAGATTGAGTGGGCCGATTACCCATTTAATACATATTAATTAACGAAATTAAATTAAACCCAAATCCCAATTTCCCCCAAAGATCAAAGCTTTATTGTTGATTAAACTGATTAATCAGATAATTAATTAATTATTGTTTCTTTGTTCCTGCTTCGTTTAGATGCAGGAGAAAACGGAATACGCGCTTTACCTTCCGAAGAATCGAAGAGGGCTTTTGGAGGGAGGATAAAGGCGCCTCAGGATGGATGGATAAGTGTGAGTTTTGTCTTGCCACGTATGCTCGAGAAAGTCCCAATGTCCAAAGCTCAGTCAGAGCTGCAAATTTTTGAACGTAAGAAGAACTATTACTAAATGGGAGAGACTAAATTTGAATTCAAGAGCGAGCCTTACACGAGACAAAGATATTATTATAAATTCTGTCTTGAATAAAAGAGGAGTACAAATTTATGTGATTTTAAAGTTTGATAGGGTATTTGGTTCAATATCTTAATGAATAGAGTATTAAGTTTTATCAGTACGTTCGGATTCGAAATAATAGTCTTTTCAAAGTTATTGTAATTTGAAACTCTCTCCTGTTGAAACAAAAAACGAACTTTGATATGTATTTCCAATTAAGAACAAGAATAGTCAAAAGGTGTAAGAGGTGGTGAATGATTTGAACGAATGTCATTTGCGTGGAAGAAAATGCAAGTAGGCGGATTAATTTTTCAAATACGAATATTTTTTAGCGTGGAATAACAATGAATGACATATTGTGAATACATTCATGTTATAACCTATGTATTTATTTATTTATTAGTATTATATTGTAAGTTTATAAAATAGGTTAAATTATAGTGAAAGTCTCTGATCTATACTACGAGTTTAGTTTTCGTTCTTGGATTATACTAATAGTTTCTCTCATCCTCGAATTATGTCATTCGTTACATTAGTAAACTTTTTCGTTAGCTATCAACTTTTCCGTTAAATTGAAGACAAAGTAGAAATTCATCAAAAAATAAGATTTATTTTTATATTTATTTTTATTTTTATTTTTAAGATAAAGACTTGGCTCCTAAAGGAACGGGGAGGAACTCCTCCATAAAATACCTCGTGACTTATTTACAGAAATTCGTGCATATGACCAATGCTCCTTAAAGATTGACTAAGTGATCTTAATTTTAATTTATTTTCTGCAGAGATGATGTTTACATATAATTTATAACATAAACAGTTATGATCAACACAAAATTCTGCTACGGAGTATTTTGAGAAGGAATTCCTCCTTTACCTTAAGAAACTAAGCTCTTCTCTTTTTATAATAAATTAGATTTTTTTTAATGAAAAAACCACTATACCCTTAAACTTGATGGAATGACCATTTATGCAATGCAGTGTTAAATTAGAGAACGAGAGAAACTAATATGAAAGTTCATAAACTAAATGAGATAAAGTTCAAGAACCTTGTATTTTTTTTTTATCCACCCTAACCGGGTGACTTGTTTTCAAATATTTGTTTTATAAGCTATTACACTTGAATTAATAACACTGAGGTTTTTTTTTTTAAAATGTGAAGTAGTAACACTGCGACCAATAACTGATACTCAAATTTTCCTTGCAATCACACAATTCAACAGTACAAGCCTAAATCCAACACAAAGACAATATTAGCCCAAGCATAACCTAAACCATGACCAAAAAAAAAGCCCATTTAAATTCATTACATTCTTTGACTTTTTACATGGATGTAAAAATGAAAGGTTCATCAAGACAAAACAAGAGCAGTCGGAATTGTCTTTTGCACCAAGTTGTGGCTGAGATCCAACCCAACCCAACCTATATGATTATGGTTTAAATCCCAATTTTCCCCCATTTTCCATCGGAAAAACAGTAAAATCCGAGGCACGTTTTTTGTCTGAACTGCAACCGGCAGGAGGAAGAAGATTATATCTAGTGAATCTTGCACTAGTACCCATTTTATTGGGCTACCAAAAAGTGAACAGTGAAGTTGCATATGACAAATGAAAGCAAACAAAAATAGCGTCTTAGTTTGGTCTACAAATCCAAATTTGGATGTTCCCTCATGAGATGAAATGAAGCAAGAATGATCAGAATAAGTTGTACGCAATGATCCTAGAACTTCTAATACTGTAAATTATAGAGCATAGTAATAACATATGTGTTATTCATGTTTGTGAAACTAACAAAGTATGAACAATTGGAATCAATCAACATCTGTGCGCAATGATATCCCTTGTAAACTGAAAATTTGATATTACCCCTTGAAACTATATTTTCCTCTATTAAAACCCATCTCTTTTTGTTTTCTTGAATAAAGCCCATTGACTAGCCTTCAACTAAACAAATTCTTTAATTAAGTTTGACTTTTCAAATTGTGTATTTTTCGAATGCCTAAACTACCCATATTAATACTTGGATGAGATTTTTGGATCAGTTACTTGTTATATCCATTTAATTAATTTTATATATTTTACAAAATAATTCATGCCATTCATTGTATATTCAATGTATTAACTTTCAAATTGTTATAACGTGCCAATTGAAAACTAATAATACTAATTTCATAATTTTGTGCATTACATATATAAGTTAATTTACCTACCAACACAACAATAAACCTAAAACAGCTTCGGCTAATATTCCAATCCCTAATACACAAAACAAAAGCTATATGTTCTGCACAATTCTTACCTACAAAATAGTCTAATTTACCTATTACATCAAACCAAAATTTAAAGGGTCTAGTTTACTTTCAAAATGATCTAATTTACCTACATGATTTATGTGCATTAGATTAAAAGTTTCTTTAATTGCCTACAAGCACAAACCCACAACATTCGAACATTATCTAATATCACTAATTTTTTTTTTTTTTTTGGAATAGGTAAATTAATTTAAATGTAGGTAAATTAGTATAATATTAATAAGTAGGTAAATTAATTTAAATGTAGGTAAATTAGTATAATATTTTATAAGTAGGTAAATTAATTTAAATGTAGGTAAATTAGTATAATATTTGTATGTAGGTAATTACATGATTCAAAATGCAGGTTTATTAGTATAATATTTTGTAAGTAGGTAAATTAATTTGTATGTAGGTAATTACATAATTCAAACAATATTATTTTTTCTGTACAAGATTGTCTTTCTCTTTTAAATTTGGTAAATTAATTTATATATGGTGCTAATATTTATGATACAAGAAAGGTAAAATATCCATATGGATTTAATTGCTCATCATAATTAGGATGAGTAATAACATTTATTGACCAAATTAGGATTCTATGGCATATGTTGTAATTGTATTGTAATAGTTGGTCATATATTTGTCTACATGGTAGGCTATTTGAAATTTGGATTTTATCTGAATGTTTAAATTTAGATGGGTTTTTATTTGGAAAATAGGAGTTTTAAGGGTCTATATCCAAAGAACCCATATTGTAAATTGTAGAACATAATATAATACTAATGTTTGTAGTATATTTCACCAATTCCAAAACTACCGAGCATCTGTCAAATTTATACTTTTGAAGGGTTCATGCTAAGACACCTCTGCCGAAACACATGAATTTCTCTCCAACCATAAGACCAATCATAATGTGACATGTGTCAACATCAAAATAAAACTCCCACATCCACCGTGGATGAGAACAAAGTACTCTAAATTATTAATGACCAACATCAATCCATATTTATGCGCTCAGTAATCCTTGACTGAAATCAGTCCATGTTGTGCTCAGTAATCCTTTTCCTATCACCCGTAATATTGTAGACTGTAGAACCTAATACTAACGTAGGAGTCGTCTGACTAGCTAACTGCATGTATATTACTGAGATAGCTTCTCACACACACACAAAATAAACTATTAAACGATGGTGGGTTGTGTTTTACAAGCACTTGGGACCGCCCAACATATATCTTAATCTGTTGCCCTATTCATTTTGCAGGCCAAGAAAATGTCAGAATAAAACAAGCTAGCTATAAGCTATGAATAATGTTTTAATATTGGAGTTTGATTACAAAAATAATAATAGTATGAGAATGAGGACTGTTTTCCCATAAAAGCATGTCTCTGCTGGATTAATGAATATCCAATCATGCTTATATATTTAAATGACGGGGCTGCGGATGCACAGATCAAAGTTAAAAAGGTTTTTGCATTATTTTTCCTTTCTCTTTTACTCATGATGTTAAAAGGGAATAATCAACTTCTTATCATATTCTATCCTCTCTCTCTCTCTCTCTCTCTCTCTCTCTCTCTCTCGATCTATATATATCTAGTGTGCTGTGTGAAATCTTGCTGTATTTTCACCTGGTTGCTTTATTTCTACTTTTTATGACAAGGGAAAGGTGGGGTGATTTGAATAAAAAGGAAACTTAAAAAGCTTATACAATAAAATTAAATTTGTAACGGTGATACTATTTAGACACACAAGACTGACAAATTAGCTAGCTAGTTGGCAGCTTGACACATTTTCTAATATACAGATGAACCTTACATATAATGACCACATATATAATATATTAAAGAAATTGTTATCAAGCATGTCAATTTTGTATGTTGAAATATTGAATATGAAAAGATGAATAAAATTATTTAACAAGTAATTTGAGGGACTGGGAAGAGAACAAAGGAAAAGACAGAAAGTGCACGTCAGAACAAGCCTGTTGGTTGGGCTGTGGTGGTGGATGGGTGTAGAGCTCCAAAGGGAATCCGTTCTCATCCATATCTCGCTTTCTCTCTCTCTCTCTCTATTTTTCTCTTTCTCTCTCTCTCATGCAAGACATACACATGTCTTATAATTAGTCTTTCTGTTTATGACACAAAGTTACCTGGTTTAAATTATATGAAGGTTTTTCCTTGAATTTTTCTTGGTGTTTGTCTGCAACTCCACTCACCAGCAAGTGGCTCTTGCAGACATAAATTTAATCAAGAGAAAGGTTGGTGCTACTCTATGCTAGCTAGCTACTTGAAAAGTTCATGATTCTTATTTTTCTTTAGACTTAATTATATATAGCTCCTTTTTTTTCTTGTTAATTCTCTCTTTTCATTACTGGTTGAATTTTCTTGAAGGGTTTGATGGTAGAGAGAAGATAAATCATGAGGAAGAATAGCTAGAGGAGAAAGGAATTGATGGGATTTGTGTGAAGCTGAATTCATCTGTTCATATTCTTTTTTACATATAATTATTTTCTGAATTAGGGTTTGCAGTCAGATCTAAATCCTGTCACGTACAGATATGAAAGTTTAGATCTGTTGCTCAATTAATCTTTCATGAAACTGTCTACAAATAATTGGTGTCATCCTATCCTATAAATACAAAAGTATAGCAAGTCCTGTAATTTATAGTAAAGGGTGTTTTAATCATCAATAAAGGTTTGATGGTGGATGAGAATATGTCAAATTTGACTTGTGCTTCTGGTGATTTAAGTGCTTCTAACTCAAGCATCAGAAATGAGTCATCATCTGCTGGCACAGTCTACCCTCAGCATTCCTCATCCTCAACACAAATTCAGCAGCAACAAGCACCGCCACCGCCAAAGAAGAAGAGAAATCTCCCAGGCAACCCAGGTCTCACCAAATCAAAATTAATTTGTAATTAACCAACTTTGATACAGAGAAATGACTTCTGCACATCTACTTTCTCCTTCTGCATATTCTGTTTATTCTCCGTTGATTTATTTAAGGCTTTTATTCAATTCCAAATTCATATATAAACATGAGTGTACATGAGGATTAAAGGGTCCGGCAAAATCACATCCTTTTATTTATATACATCTCATGCATGTTAATTTAACTGTTTTTTTTTTTAGTTTTGGTTTTATATATTAAAAATTGAAATTTTGAGCAGACCCGGATGCTGAAGTAATAGCCTTGTCTCCAAAATCACTGATGGCAACGAATAGATTCGTGTGTGAGATCTGCAACAAAGGGTTTCAAAGAGAGCAAAACCTTCAGCTTCACAGAAGAGGGCACAATCTGCCATGGAAGCTAAAGCAAAGGACGGGGAAGGAGGTGAGGAAGAAAGTGTATCTGTGCCCGGAACCGACATGCGTCCACCATGACCCGTCGAGGGCTCTTGGGGACTTGACAGGGATCAAGAAGCACTTCTCTAGAAAGCACGGTGAGAAGAAGTGGAAGTGTGAGAAATGCTCAAAGCGTTATGCGGTTCAGTCAGATTGGAAAGCGCACTCCAAAGTCTGTGGCACAAGGGAGTATCGATGTGATTGTGGAACCCTTTTCTCTAGGTAAGAGCATTATAGGTAACTAATTATGAAAATAGCACTAACAGAGAAAGATTATCACTAAATTAGTTTTTAAGAAGCAACAACTTATAATTAATTTCTATAGAACTAATATCTATACGAGAGTGATTAACTAGTTTTCAAGAGTATCAAATACTGCAAATTAATAGCGGGTATCAAGGGATAACCTTGATAATACAACCTTTGTGAAATGAGAGGGAGAGAATCAAGCTAATTAGCTTTTGAGTTGTGATGGGTAACATATATAAAGTGCTTAGTGTATGAACCTTTAATGTGTTACACACATACACACATCTGCTATTCTCTTTTGTCCTAAAAAACAAAAAGAACGAAAATACGAAAAAGTCCATACGTGAGAAAGAGAGGACAACACTGTTTAAGTTACTTTTCGATGGTTGTTTTTTGCTTGCTCTTTTTGTTTTCTTGTGATTTGTTTTTTGATGATGGGGTAACTCTGCACGCAGGAGGGACAGTTTTATCACACACAGAGCCTTTTGCGATGCTTTAGCACAAGAGAACAATACAAGCACTGCAGCTGCCAGATCAGCAATGCCAGCCTCAATCAACCCTCTTCTCTCCTCACTCCCCCAAATCCATAGCCATGGCCTCCAAGCTCTATCAGCTGTCAAGAGAGAACAAGATCAGCATCAGCACCAGCAGCACCAGCACCCGCAGCACCTTCCACCGTGGCTTTCTTGCTTGCCGGAAGGTGGCGAAGCCGCCAGCCTCCCTACTATGAACCTCTCTGCCTCGCCATTATTCTCCACCTCTTCATTCCAGCAATATTATTCTTTTGGCCAAAACCCTAACCCTAGCAGCTCTTCAACTACCCTACTCCCCGATAACTTCCAAGTTCAACAAACCCCCGCTCCCCCTCACATGTCAGCCACCGCCTTGCTTCAGAAGGCATCAGAAATGGGAGCCACCATCAGCAAACCCTCCCCTTCCCCATATTTTCTCAAACCACCCACCCACCAATCCCTCCAAGCTCACATGTCCAACGAAACTTCGCGTGACCAAGCAATTCTATTGGATGATGGGTTTGGAAACAATGAGAATAAATCTTCACTCCTGCATGATATGATGATGATGAGTGGCTCTCAGGGTTTTCATCATGATCGTCATCAAGTCTCATCGTCATCGTTCGGAGATCACCCTCAGCAGCAGCAGGCTTTCAATGGAATTATGGTCGACGGTAATTTCGTCGAGATTAATAATAATAATCCTCCACAGAATTATAATAAACCAAGAAGTACTGACAACAACAACGAGGGTTTGACAAGAGATTTCCTGGGACTTAGAGCGCCATTTTCATCAGCAGCATCACATGGCGGCCATGGAGATTTTTTCAGTATTAATATGGCAGGGCTGGATCATCACCATGTGAGTACTTCTTCTTCTCCAGCTACTTATAACAACAATTGCCCGCAGAATGATCAGAACCAAACATCGTGGCAAGGTTAGTTTGGTCATTTTAAGCATGCAGTCATTACTCTTCCTTCTCTGTAGAGAGAGAGAAAGAGCCCAGTTACAAACTTACCCTGTCTGAGGAATTCTTGAATCTTCTGGTAATAGGCTGTTTGAATGGTGCTCCAAGCTTGCACTATTCGTTCTTTTTTTCCTTGCTTAATTATTTTAAACATTTGGTTCTTTTTATAATAATTTTCTGCTTACTCTGCAATCAGTGTGGTTGCAAGCCACCGACAATGATATATCCCAACTTCGAGCAAATAATATTAAAATCAAACAATTGGTTGTAGTGTGACGTGGTGCTCTGTAATGGATGCATAAAAGTATTTTTTGATTAGATGATGTGAATAAGTTGTTTGGAAGTACTTTTAAAAACACATATACTTATGTTTGCAGAGAAAATTAAAAACGCCTGTGAGTTAAAAAAAAAAAAAAAAACTAAAAACGTGCTCAACATAATATCACCACTATATTAATAGAGTTCTATTAATTTCAAGTTTGACTCATTCAAATCAAATGTCTCTTAACTACACTCCTTCGCTTCAAGGAGAAACCTTTTGATTCTAATTGAAAAGAGATGGTGGGTTAATTTGATTTTGTGGCTGCACTAAAATAAAAAAAAGTCATGATTGTCTACGTATCCAATGTTGAGAATAAGTCCCACATTGACGGGATGATGGATTTTGCATGGGCTTATAAGAAGGTTTGACTATTCCTTGTATTACCAAGTGGTGGAATCAAGCCGCTCGTAGTTTTTAGAAAACCTAGAATTCGACTTGGTTTTGGAGTTTGAGTTTGCTTCTATGATTTCATACTAAATTGCCTACGCACCCACGTAGTTCGTAAATTGGGTTTATTTGCTTGGTCCTTGGAAGTTAATGAAAGTGGTCTTTTAATTAATTTTTTTTCCTTGACTTTGCAATGTTGGTGCCGTGGAAGAGGATCCCACTTTGGGATTTAGACTTCATTCCAAGGACTGAACAGCACAATAGTGGTCTCCTGACGGTTTGGAGGTCGCGGCGCCATGAGAAACACTTGTGTACTTCTTCTCTTATTGGACCCCAAAAATATGGATTTGCATATGTGCTTCTTTGGTTTGTGTTTCGACAGGAAGCAATAAGAGTAGGACCTTTCTTGCTTTCAAATTTCTTTGCTTTGCTAAATCATAAGCCTTGTCCTCATGAAGGAAATTGTTTTCTTTCTTTTTGTTGTGTAGCAACGGCCCCACTCCTTTCTGGCATCAAAACTTCACTCACAGTAGCACTCTCTCTCAAGCCCTTGTTTTCCTTTTTTTTTTTTTTTTTTTTAAATTTTCTTTCCCTGACATTGCATCTTGCTCTTTATTTTGTTGGCTGACTCTTCATGTCAAATACAACCGAAAAATTAAACCGATCTTCCTCTTTTCTATGACCATTTTCTTCTTTTTTGTCGCCTTTTTTCTTTTTCTTTTTCCGATAGATTTTATTAGATTAGATGTTAGATTAGCATCTGACTAATTTGAACCTACACCGTCATACAAGGGCTCAACACATTTCCACCACTGTAGTAAAGTGTCACTTGCTTTTGTGGTTGAGCAAATGCGCAGAGACAACGGAAATAACAGAGACGTTAAGCACCTCTCTCTTCTGCCTCTTCTGCCTCTTCTGCCTCTAACGCACCCGGAACGGAAGGACCTGTGCCACTTCTTCATCACTCGCAAGTCTGCCAATTGATTGCTTCATTGCTTTGGTTTCATCCTCTCCTATTGATAACTGCAGGATCGAAAAGAGAATAAAATTTGGACGAAACTTGTACCTGCAACGTTAGAGGAAATTCCTCGTCGATTCCCTGGGGTATCGAACAAGGGAATCGGAGGACAATAATATGATACATGATTTCTCTGTCTTCATTTCCTTTTCGGAAGAGGGGAAACAACCGGAGAACAGCACCCTCAAGGAGTTTATGAGAAACGTAAGCCAAGTGTTTTACATAAAGAGGAGTTTGTACCTTGAATTTGCTGCTGTGGAGCTTTGATTATATCGACTCTTGTCGTAGCACTTGCACTTACGATCACGGATTGCACTTTAGATCTCCTACATTGGACCACGTCGGATCTTAACCCCATCCACTATTGGGCTACAATGCCATGATTTTTTTTATGCTTCAACACTTTAATTTACTGGTAGATGAATTCAAATTTGAGCGCAATAGTTGTCAAAGTAACCAAATCCAGATCTCTCTACATTAATCTATTAAGTAGATAACTTTTAATTTATCTTTCAGATTACTGGTAACAAAACCTAAATTACTATTAAGACAATATGCATTCCCGATCTGAAAGATCAACTTGTATATGGCACATACCGCCACAGTAGCATCCCGTGTCAATCATACATGGTCACATGAAGAGAAACTAGTCAACGATACATGGTCACATTAAGAGAAACTTACACATGATTTTGTATTATTGGAATGAGACGTCATATTAGTGATATACTGCTATTAAGTTATTCTCCCCAAAAAAGAAAATGCACATATCCCACCCTGATAACAAGCTTTATATGAAGTTGTTTCAGAATTTGTGATGTATCCAGATTATTAAAGGAACTATAATACAATGAGTGACCAGACCAAATGCAAGACTGAGAAAGATTCGAGAGTAGAGTACTGCAGTACTGAACATTGATGTGTTCATATCATATACATGTAAGCTTTTTTTTCTTTCTGGAATATGATGTATCTCATTTACATGTGCATGTTCAACGCAAAAAGTAGATGCCTGTGCAGTGCGCAGCTGCTCCATAGCTCTCGTGTTAGTTTCAATCCCGAGGCTGTGAAAATATAAAAGCAATGAACAAACCCCACCGAGTTAGCATCTCCTTTGGAAACTGATCATGTTCATACTGCGACTTGTACTTGTGACTACGTTTAGTAAAAAAACAGGTTTAACAACGCTTATACATTGTAAAAGTGTTTGTTGAATAAACACTTATTCATGAAGTACTTCTCAAGTTTTTCCTAAGGAACGCTTGACTTTTTAATACAAATTTCAACAATTTACTATAAAAGTACTGATAAAATACTTCGTACATAAACATCTCAAACGAATCCTAGGAGCTTGATACTAGAAATAAGTCATAATACAATAGAGACAGAAAAATGCCATTGTGGAATTTTTCTTTCTTTTCCCACCCCTTGGGCCTTGGCAACTGGTTACTTGATGACTAAGGATTTGAATTCGACCGAGGCAATGGTCTCATTTATAATGGGTTGTTGGTTCAATCACTTCATGAGATAATATGTAGTGTCAATCACAATCACAGGTCCCAGCAATAACCTTATGAAGATTGGCCGGTGAAATTTGCATCACATTCTAGATTCTAGACTCCCGTTTCCCCACCTTGTTTAATAGACTGTTTTTATTTCATTTACTTTTCGTTTTTGATTAAGAACCAAGGCAATGATGTAAACTTTATTAGTTTTAACTTTTGACGAAAGACAATGACGAAGAAGAATCGAATACACGATATCGAGATTAAAAGTAAATATGCTTTACTATTTTAGCTACATATTCTAAGCTTGTTATGCATATTTGCTCAAGAATAAAATGATATGTCTATTGAACCCACTAGTACTATTTGAGCTACACATGCTTTGTTTGCTAACTTGGGAGGCCTTAAATTCGAACTATTATGAATGACCAGTTTAATGTCTAATTATAATGACCGACTTATTTTGTTACTTAACCCAAATCTCTATCCTTGGTATCGTTTGTAGACAATGCTTGTGTAGGAATACTTTCCATACCTCCAACTCCAAAGTTAGCAATATGTCCATCAATAACAATTAACAAAACCCCAACAAAAATAAATAAAGGGGTTTTTGAACATTAGTCCTTGTAAAAGATTAAAATTAAAAAAAAAAAAAAAAAAAAAAAACTGGTGCTAGATTGCATATTCAAATTAATCCCTTACTTTTATCAAAATTTGCATTCAATTTTTGTTATTTAATGTGTATTTTTATTTAATCTCTCCACATTAAATTTTAATTTTATTAATATGCACATATTTAGTTTTTTAATTATAAATGAATGTAAATGGGAAAATATTAAAAGAAATTTGGGATACAAAAATATATAAATACATAAGTATACAGAAATGATTGTACCGAAATATATAATTGACTTTTTTGTACCGAAATATTTGTACCTACATGATTGTACCGAAATATATTATAATGAACCTAAATGTATTATATTGAATTAATGTACCTAAATGTCAATACTGAAATGTATGTACCAAAATGTACGTACCTAAATGTCAATACCGAAATGTATGTACGTATGAAATGTATGTACCAAAATGTACGTACCTAAATGTCAATACCAAAATGTATGTCCCTAAATGTCAATACTGAAATATATGTACCAATATGTACGTACCTAAATGTATGTACCAAAATATAATATATTGAATTAATGTACCTAAAAGTCAATACTCAAATGTGTGTACCAAAATGTACGTAATGAAATGCATTATATTGAATCAATGTAATTATATGTTTGTACCGATGGATATACCGAAATATTCAAATGTATTAATGTACCTAAATGAAGAACATAAAAAATTGTTATCGGAATATATATTATAAAAAAATTAGTTCCCTAAATGTAGACATTAAAATATATTATGATGAATGAAATAAAAAATAAATTTAAATGTAATTAATACATTAAAATAAAAATAAAAAGATAAATAAAACATCAAAATATAACTAATAAATGATATGATTAAATGTACTAGGGACTAAAATTGGATTTTAATCTTACAAGAGGTTATAGTCTAAAAATCATCTTTTTTAAGAATTAAAATGAAATTTTCCAATAAATAAATAAGCGGACGATGAATTTCAGGCAAAAGAAGGGTCGGTGTCCATCCATGGAACCCACAAAATATCCATCCCTTCAAGGGCAACGTGGAACTCCAAATTTCCACTCCTCCGGGATAAAATGGCGCTAATTAAATATCCATCCTCGAGGCTAATATGGAAATTTCCCCTCTAATCACGCTCCTCGGAGGCTCGGACCCTAGTATCTCTCTCCTCAAACCTCCTCCTTTCAAAAGCTCCACTCTTTCCCCATTTTCCTTCTCATTTTCTCGCCGTCGAAACACCACCGCCAGCTTCTAAACTGACCAATCAACGCCTCCGGAGTTGAGTTGAGAGAGAAACATG